CTTGGTCCAAGAGACCGAGGAAAAAGTTCGCATAATTAGAGAGCGGCTCAAGACGGCGCAAAGCCGGCAAAAGAGTTATGTAGACAAGAGACGACGTGATATACAATATCAACCCAGAGACTTTGTTTATTTAAAAGTCTCACCAATTAAAGGTGTTAAGCGCTTTGGAGTACAAGGAAAACTAAGTCCGCGATATATTGGTCCCTATCGAATCTTAAAAAGAAGAGGGACGGTGGCGTACAAATTAGAATTGCCAGCGCACCTACAAGGGGTTCATGATGTATTTCATGTATCCCAATTACGCAAGAGCGTAAAGCCACCATTTGAGAGAGTCTCGGAGGAAGAATTAACCCTCCGAAAGGACCTAACGTATGAGGAGCATCCTAGTCGTATTTTGGACACAGAGGAAAAGAAGCTCAGGAGTAAAACAATTAAATATTGCAAGGTGCAATGGGGAAATCATCCTGTGCGAGAAGCGACTTGGGAAAAAGAAGATGACCTCCGAGAAAAATATCCTTACATTTTCGAGGTGCGACTCAACAAATTTCGAGGACGAAATTTTCTCTAAGGGGGAAAGGATGTAAAAACCGTAAATATATATATATATATATAATAAATAAATTAGATAACGATAATTTCAACGGCGTTGCCAAAACATTAATTAAAATAATAGAGACAACTACATTTATTATTACAACAAATAGCATTTAGTCGTGCAAAACAAATTCTTCTCCAAACCTCCATATATTTTATAGACCCTTGTCTCATTTCTTTCCCATAAAGTAAATGCCAACTAAGGGCCAGCCAAACAAATTACAACTGTCCATAGTACAGCCCATAAGAGACACAAGTGGAGGTATGCATGCAAGACTAACCACACATGCATGCCAGATGTAATGTGTCTTCAAACCGACATAGCTATTCACCCCACTATAAATAGGAGCCATCCCTTTCACTGGACCATTCTACCTCACACACACATACGTTGGAGTACCCCCACCACTTGCCTTTTCACCTTCTACCGCACTGCTGTCCTTCACTGCGGTGAAGATCTTTGGGTTGCATGCGCCACCAGGTACTAATCAAGTACCTTGTTGTGTTAGCCCTTCTTGCTTGATTTCTTATCTATCTCCACCTTGGTTTGAATCAATCCATAAGCATCTATTCGCCTTGATCTATTTACCTTGCAGTAAAACGAACAAAATGTTTGCGTAAACACCCAAGTTAGTCAAAACTAATTATATCAATTGCAAAAGCTTGTAAAAGTTTATGTGAATGACATCCGTGGTATGTACTAGATCTAACATGCCAAGAATCAAATCCTAGGTACTAGTAACTTGCTAAGACATGTATGTATGTATCCAAAAGATCAACCTTCCTGTGTATACTACCTTGTCCTATTTATTAATCCCTGCCAATCTGTAGCAAACTGAGAGATTGATGTTTATAATCTACTCACAAGTAATTATTATTTTTGGAGTTTCACTGCCACTGTTTACTTCTATATGGTGTTCAAGGATGAGTAGCACTAGTTAGGAACAACATTTAGATCTAATCAGTAGCAATACCATGACCACACTATAAATTAAATCTTGATTAATTTCATGGCCTGGAGAAAAACAAAGAGAAAGAAGGCAATATGGCTGAGAAGGGAATAGTAGGGCCTGAGATAAAATGAACAATATATGCACACCCACGTTCACATATAGCAGGCACTTGTTGTGAAATTTGGAGCACTTCATGGAGAAGGAATTAGGATTAGTACTTACCAGCAGTAGCAGTAGGATGTGGCTAGTCCACACCGTTAGCAGCAGAGCCATGGCGACCGAGCAGCGCCGGTGAAGCCGCACATGCCCGACGCCCATGGCTGCACGCCTCGTGCGTGTGGCTGCGCTGGCGGAGGATGTAGGCACGGAGACGTTGTTGCCGCTGCAGCCGGTGGCAAGCCCACCGGACCTGGATCAGGCGGCGCTAGGATTGAGTGGTGGCGACGTTTTTGGCAGCGGCGGATCAAATAAATAGGGGGAAATGGTAGAGGGAGACGAGGGGAATCTGTAGGTGTCCGCCGTGTCGCCGGAGATGCCCGGACGGGGCAGATCGAGGCGACGGCGGCCGTGCTCTGTTCTTGGGGAAGAGAGAGAGGTGAGCGGGCTGGTTCTGTTCGTGGGACAGCAGAGAAGATGAGTAGTCTTTTTAGACTCGGGCTGGGGCTCAACCCGCGTAGTACTAGTAGTACAGTACTAGGCTACTGTTCTTTTTTACATATCATTTCTTTTACCATTCTCTGGACTGGATGACATACGTGCATGCTACTCTGTTTTGGATGGCTTAATGCATTTTATCTCTCAATGGAACACTAGGACGTATCACCACTTAGTTAATTACATGTGGCTTGCTCAACATGGCCGTGTTGCTGGATGTTAGATTTTTAGTTAGGAAGATAAATAATAATATAAACATGTTCCTGAAATAATTACCAGGAGTCGATCTCGGACCCGTAGGAGCCACGTCTGGTGGTTCCGAGTTGATCGAAGCACTATCCGGCAAGTCGTCATCTCCTTGACCATGTCTTGATAAATGTTTTCCGGGCTATGGGTCATTTCTAAAATTTTGCATAAGAATTTAAAATAAATATTTTTCATAAATAAAATGAAATTTGGATCAGGTGGATCCACTGATTTGGCAATTGGACCAGATCAGGTGAAGCATATGTATTAAGTAGTTGTGACCCGGGTAGGGTTATAATATAAATAAATATTTGGTGGGTAGGGGAGCTCATGTTGGTGAAAGCAACCCAGGGAGGGTCGGCTTGGTTGGCGGGCTCCTCTACATAGGGTATCACATTAGGACACAACCAACTGGCGCTTACTTCAAAAGCGGCGCAAACCGTACTGACCATAGACCTGGAATGGGACGGGCTGAACCAACTACCCATGCCAAGTAGCTGCCTCTGCATGGGTGAGAAGGTGGCTGTAGCCGGGTAGGTACAGTCACCCTAGGGCGGGACCGCCGGTCAGGGGTCTCGACCCGCGGGCCTTTAGTAAGGCAAGGTGGAAAAGCAGAGGTAGTGTACGGGCTGGTTAAAGGTTTTGGTTCCTTGGTCTAGTCGTGTGCATGGGTAGCGCATGGACGACTTGGACCAAGTGATGCTATGGGCAAAGCAGTACACCTCTGATCAGAGTAAATGTGATATCACTCCCAGCTTCCGGGTTTGGAAGTGCGTCGTGTGGGTTTTCCTCTAACACATGATGTAAGATCCCACGTCGCTCTGTCACCAGTAGATTTTATAAATAAAATTTGGTTTCCAACAAAAAGGGTTAAGGGAAAATATTTTTACCTACAAAGTACTTTTGAGCTAATGGCTCGCTGGTTGTAGCCGTGGCCGATAAAGTTTTCCTCTTTAAAGAACTCATGCATCCACTTTTCCCGGCGACTTGCGGAGTACGTATTTTATACGTACTCAGCTGCACTTATGTTGTTTTTCAGAACAAGAGAGTTATGAGAACTCTGAGGCGATAGAGAATGGTACTTATGATGAGTCTGGTCATCTTAATGACTTCGGTTATTCTGAAGTGGAGTATGTTTATGAGGAAGTCGACAATCAAGGCTATGAAGAGTAGATGCCCTCCATGGTTGGTCTAGAAGGCTCGTAACCGGAAGTAGATGACGATCTATCGTCATGGTCGCTTAGGTTTAGTCGACACTTGAGGTGTCAATGTAATAAAAGCTTGCCTACTCATGGCAGCTGTACCGTCTTGTACATGATACTGTTCTCCTTAACTGATCCTGGCGCAACTCTAAAGTGACGGCTTCCGTTACGCCTGACTCTATCGGACGTAACGGGGCGTCACAGTTTGTGACAATTCAGATGAAAGTCTTGCCCCTTTTTGGTTGGTGCCACCCATGACGATCCCCCGTGGGTGTTGTTTTCCCTCCTTGGAGGCGTCGCTGTGGTGTGTCTGTACCTCACTCTCTCTCACTTGATTGGTTGTCTTCGGGCAAAAGCCTAGGTTCGGATCCGGATCGGCGATGACAGCGTCATCGATGTCGTTCTTCTGTTGGGAACATTGCTTTTGGAAACACGACTTGGAGGTCCTAGTTTGCTTTCCTGTGGTACTTGTCGCTGTTCTGGATTGTTTGTCAGGGCCTAAAGCAGTGGCGGAGCCAGGAAAATTAAATTGGGAGTGCCAAACGTTGGTAAACCTTGTTTGGGAGGGCCAGATCATTAAAATGCATTGTTTTAACAG